ATTCGCCGACCCACGACGGCATCTGAATCGTTTACATAAACGTGTGCTGGACTTTGGAGAGGTTACCCTACGCTTCCGTAGTTTGCTCACATTACATTTTTATCGGCTAAAGATTCCTACTGTCTGAATATCGCTTACACTCTTACTTGCTGCATCGCTGATCATTCAGGACGCTGTATGAATGAATAAATACATGTTGCTTTACATTGATTTATAGGGTTTAACTTAGGCAAGGGCAAAAACTGGATTTTGTGTAACTTTTATTGACTTCAGATATGGCGGCATTCAAATCACAGCTCCGGGAATTGACCGAAGCACACAAACAGGAGGTAAGCTGTTCTAGGTTAAACTGCATTGTTAATACGTGTGCTTTTATATTTAAGAAAATACTAAAGTTAAAAATACATACATCTTTCAGCGTGAAAACAATATCTCCAGTTAACCGCATACTCTGTATGTAGCACGTACACTTTAAAAATGTTTATTGTAAACGAATACAAGAAAATAAGGGCTACAAGGGTAATCGGACCTTCTCGGCTTTCTCCGTCATATTCCGGTTTAAATAGCAGAAATCAGTTAAAAAAACAACAGCTGTTATATTGTTGTTGCTCATCTATTGAATGAGCTCCTGCCATTTTAAAAGTTTCAAACACAGCTCTTTTATCAATAATCAAGATTTTAATCTTTTCTGATATTCATAGTTTTCGTGAAAATAATGATGAATTGGTTATTCAACAACATCTAGAATTTTTGCTCCTGACTGGTTAATGTCGAAAAAACAACACAAAACATGTGCTCCTTTTGCCTGGTGCAATATAAATATTTTTTTCTCTGTCCCCTTCACCTTTAAGTCGCAATACGTATATAAAATACTGTCTTGATTTTAATCTTATCAATTTTCAGGCATTTGATAAGGCTTGTAAGGAGGCGGATTTTACCGAGGGTCGTCTTGTACGTATTACGGAAGAATATTACCCAACAGCTTTAGAATTTATCAGGACAAATTTTCTGGTTCAAGAACCAATCGAGAAGGCCCTTGGTGTTCCATGGAACGATGAAGTGAGGGATTTCTGGTTGTCAATGTACAAGTAGGTGGCTTACAAAGATTTTTTAAAAGTTTTATTTTGTTTATAAAAAACCACAAGATAAAAGAAATAGCTATAAGTAATTTACTGTAATGAAGTGTCGTTGATGTTATTTTGATAATTATGTTTTGTGCCGTATCTATCATTGAAAAAAGGTAAATAATGTAAACACACCAAATGGACTAAAAATTTTGTGATTTAATTAAGTTAATCATAGATCTAAAGCGAATTATGAGTTTCAAAATACATGAAAAAAAATTATTTAAAGCACATGTATATAAATTTATATTATGCTTAAATTTGATATTAGAAAATATTGGTAATAACTAGATAAATAACATGTTTTGACTTTACGCAAAGTAAATATGATATGTTTAAAATTCTACACACTATGGGTGGACACAATTTATATTTAAATGACTTGAAACAACTTAAGTGTAATATAGAGGTAAATGTGTCACAATATTTAGAAAGAAACATTATTCTAAACAGCATTAGTTTATCAGTAGAGTTTCTATCTATTTGATTATTACATGACACAACTATCAGCTCATATATATATACAAACTAGCGGCCACATCATGTATTTTGTTATTAATATAGCTAACTACATAAATTCTATCATAAGTGTTTTCTTTTTTGCAGATGTAATGTTTCCATTATGTTACTAGCAGACGATGGTGACGTCATAGCTATTCGGACCTCTCGTTTTTTAACGTATGATGAGGTACCAGATGACGACGCTATACAAACGCCGACTCTCAGATTGCTCGAGGTGTTCTGTCATAGGGGAGAAGCAAAAGCGGATTTCTTCGGTCATTTTGGTGCCAAAGAGTGCATACATTTTTTTGGTCTTGGCACGAATGATAAATACAGACACCATCACCTAGCAACCCGGATGTTAAACGCGTCTGTAGCATTTGCGAAGCACTTTGGTATAGATCCTATCTATATTAAAGGTGAAGGATCAAATATCTACTCTAAACTTGTCTACGAACACTCGGGGTTCGAACTTTTACACGAGGAAATGTTCGATGATTTTGTGGTTGACGGTGTAAAACCAATCCAGAATACAGGAGAAAACAAGTCTTTACGATTTTATGGTTTGAAAATCTCTTCTAAACAGTAGGCGACAACTCTGCAGTTACTGTAATGAAGTCCAATTAGCATTATAATATGTTATTCTTGTAGATATTTATTAGTTAGTTTACTAGTTTTAAGGTATATATATTTGAAACACCAAAAGAAGTTAGTGACCATTTTGGAACTTTTATTTTTCTAAAAATTTTGATTCAAATAAACCATTCAAAAGACGTGTTTGGAATTATAAAAAAGCTGATTTTTCAAAACTTAATAATCTTATCCGCAATACTGATTGGTCAGATACAAAAAAATGGAAATATAGATCAAGCTTGTGACTTTTTTACTGATAAATTCTTAGAACTTGCAAAACAGTGTATTCCTACATAGATGGCGTTGATAAGACCTAAGGATAAATCCTGGTTCAATTCAGAAAATCGTAGAAAATCGCGCCAAAGAGATAGACAGTTTCACAAAGCATTAAATTCTAATAGATCATCAGACTAGGTAATATATAAACAATTAAGAAATACAGTAAATAATATGAAAAAAACATGCAAAAGAAATATTTTATAATAACCTCGAATTTTCCATAAATGACTTACATTCTTCGATTCCGCGTAAATATTGGCATACAATTAAAATGCTTGTCAAGGAAAACTCGTCGAATACTGAAAGTATACCACCTTTAAAATGTAACACAAGTAACAATAATTATTAAATGACAGATTTTGAAAAAGCTAATACGCTTAATGATTTTTTTGTTTCCATTTCAGACCTTGACGAATCAAATATTGATCTTCCAAATTTTTCATTAAGAACAGAAGCGATTCTCGAAAACTTTACAATAAGTGAACAGGAAATTACAGATATTTTTGGCAAATTTATTCGTAAACAAAGCATCCGGGCCTGACGGAATTAGTCATAAAATGTTAAAAGAAACGTCTAAAACACCATGTAAACCACTCTCTTTACTTTATAACCGTTCTTTATCAGAGAAAATATATCCGTCTAGTTGGAAATTAGCACATGTAATGCCTCTTTTTAAAAAAGGTGACAAAGATATACCGTCAAACTACAGGCCTATTTCTCTTATTAGTTGCACCGGCAAAGTTATGGAACGTATCGTTTTTAAACATATTTTTAACTATCTTCATGAAAATGCTTTAATATTTCAAAATCAGTCATGTTTTCTGCCAGGTCATTACGGAAGAGTATACTGACCCCCCTTATATATTTTATATGCCTGTTTAAAATACGACGATACATGATAACAACATAGTTCGTAATGGTTTTTTAAAAGTTATATATATAGTTCATATTGATCTTTCCTGTTTTTTGGCTACTATACTGTTAAAGATACGTATTATAAACTTAAGTTTTTCTTCAGACCTTACTTTTATTTATAAGAAATATGTTTTTCTTCTTTTCATTGAAATTCTACCTCACGAAGCAGACGTTTCTACGGAAGAGTATACTGACCCCCCTTATATATTTTATATGCCTGTTTAAAATACGACGAAACATGATAACAACATAGTTCGTAATGGTTTTTTAAAAGTTATATATATAGTTCATATTGATCTTTTCTGTTTTTTGGCTACTATACTGTTAAAGATACATATTATAAACTTAAGTTTTTCTTAAGACCTTACTTTTATTTATAAGAAATATGTTTTTTCTTCTTTGCATTGAAAATCTACCTCAAGATGCAGACGTTTTCTTGGAGTAAACGCTTTTATTTATTTTAAAACAGTATGTTTTCGAGGCATTATTTGTTTGACAGATATAGAGATGATATAATCATATATAATATATATATTCTTTACCTGAGTTTTTAGCTTAGATGATGTTTTATATGTTTCCTAACATAAGTTGATCGTTATGATAACACGCTTGTGGTACACGAGAACTTTGCCAGTATTATATAAATATTATAATTTAACTGTTGTATATTATTATTACATTAATGGTATTGAAACTTTGAGTAACTTATACTATAAATATTTCTTACATCTTTTTCAATGATTACACAAGTTTTTTTATATCAAAACGAGAAAAGGGCCATTTAATATAATAATAATAGATGCAACTTATTATACCAAGAGAATCTAATTTAATTTATAAATTCATACATCTTTTTTCATGAGATTCATATGATAAAGGCTAGAGTGCACAATTACTACATGTTAAGAAGAGCATTCTGTTCTCTTAAATTTCCAAATATCATCGAAGAAACAATGCATATTTGTGATTTACGGTGTATAATAACAGATACAACTCTGCAAGATCTATTTTAAATATCGTATAACTTGTCAATTTTTTAAAGATATGTATTATACAAAGGTTTTTTTTTCTTGAAGGCATAAAAAATATATAAGGGGGGTCAGTATACTCTTCCGTACGTTTCCTTGGAGTAAACGCTTTTATTTTTTTGAAAACAGTATGTTTTCGAAGCACTATTTGTTGGACAGATATAGAGATGATATAATCATATATAATATATATATATTCTTTATCTGAGGATGTTTTATATGTTTCGTAAAAAAAGTTGATCGTTATGATAACACGCTTGCGGTACACGAGTACTTTGCCAGTATTATATATGTAATTATAATTTAACTTTTATATATTATTATTATATAAATGGTATTGAAACTTTGAGTAACTTATACTATAAATATTTCTTACATCTTTTTCAATGATTATACATGTTTTTTTTATATCAAATCGAGAAAAGGGCCGTTAAATATTATAATAATAGATGCGACTAATTATACCAAGATAATCTAATTTAATTTATAAATTCATACAACTTTTTTCATGAGATTCATATGATAAAGGCTAGAGTGCACAATTACTACATGTTAAGAAGAACATTCTGTTCTCTTAAATTTCCAAATATCATCGAAGACGAGCCAAATTTGACGTCCAATCAGATCGCGTATAACACACAGGTATCAGAATCCAAAATGGCAGCAACAAGTCAAAAATTACCGTGAAATAGAAAAAAATCGATAGAATATTGATATTCTTTGGACTTGAATTAGCTAAGCTGTGGAATTCTAGTTCTTTTTATTGATGTTAATGAATGATGCAGCAAAATGCCTTCGGAATGCGCCTCAGTCGTCGAAACGACGATTTCCCGTGTTCCACATTGTTTGGCAAATAAACATATAGTAGGCTTTTCACCTTTCTATAACTATAATTTTGATAGTGGAAAAATTTTTGTTTATATAATTTCATCGGTGGTTTTGTATTTGGTACCTTATAGTAAGCCTTAGAGTGTTGAATTATTTTTTTTCAGGGTTGTAGTAGGGGTTTAGTTTAATAATATTTTATTGCTCTTTGAATACAATTTATAACATTATTTCCACAAAACAACATTTTTAACAAAGGGCAAAAGGGTTGAACAACAAGTTCTAGCAACATTAGTAACTGTCCTTCCCTTAAGCATTATAAGATATAGAAACGAAAACATGTTTAAACACTATACACATGAGCAATTACAAATATTAAGGCGGAAACAAAGTAGCGAATAGAATTCGACATCAAATTTAAGAGAAAAACAAAAACAAAAAAAACAAAAAACATTTGCTTATTAATTTTTTAAATAAAAAAAAAAATAGTAGTAATTTTCCTGCACTTGCAGTATGTGATGGTTTGTATGGCCGTCAAAATATGTCATTTATAAGGGGAATTAGAAGAATTAATATTGGAACAACGATTGTTATTTTTACATGTACTTATTTCTTATTATTTAAATCTATGTGTATTTTTTATATATTTTTGAACCTCGTGAAATAAAAAAGAGTTTTCATCGATTGATAAATTTTCTTTTCCATAAAGGAGAGTACTTGTACTTAATGGATGAAAAGGGCGAGTGGAAGTGAAAAGTTGGAGTCTTTGAACACCAAAAAGTTTACAGTTAAAAAAGAAATGTTCAGCATCCTCCTCGATATGGCAAAACTCACAAACAGGGGAGTTTGCTAAGTGATTTCTATACAGATCATCATTCAAATTACTACATCTATTTCTTAAACGTGCATGGTAAACAGATGTTAACCTTTCTCCAATTAAATAATATTTAGGGACAAGTGTGGGTTTGAATTTATCCTTGAGTTTAGTTTTGAACACATTTAAAGAAGTCGAGTCACGTATCTCATTATCAAGACTATTCCATGCCGAAATTGCTGAGGGTATAAATGATCTAGAAAATATTTCTGTTCGTCGTGCTATTGTTACGTAATTATCGTTATTTCTAAGGTTATATTGGCTACTTTCTGATACAAAATTTGGGAACAAAGTGTCCAGATAACTTGGAAGCTCCCCATTTTTAGCTTTATACATTATTGATAATTTTTGCATTAAACGACGATCTGCTAAAGAGACCCAACCTATTTCATGCAGAAGTCTTTCTATAGACACTGAGCGAGTCAAACCAGTTACTAAGCGCGCAGCTTCGTATTGCATTTTTTCAATTTTTTCTTTTTCATATAAGGTACAACTATCCCAAATAACACTAGCATATTCTAATAAAGGCCTCATATAGGAAATATAAATTTGATTTAATGTTGTTCTATTTAATTTGAACTTTAATAAACGCATAGAACCTAATATTTTGGGACGCCGAGTTAGTTATATTATTAATATGTTCATGCCAGGTTCCATCATCACTTAAGGTTAACCCCAAATGCCTGTGGTGTTGAGTGTAATTAAGTTGAACATTGTTAAAGTACAAAAAAGGTCTTTCATTTCTAATAAGAGAACAAAATAATACTTCTGTCTTATTAGGATTAAAGGTTACAAGCCATTGGTCTGCCCATTCAGTAATAGTTTTAAGATCAATATTTAGAGTCATTTCTATATATTTAGAATCATCGCTTGTTACTGATAAAGAACTATCATCTGCAAAAAGACGAGTCAAACTAAGTAAGTTTTCAGCAATGTCATTAACATAAATCAAAAAAAGAAGAGGACCAAGCACAGATCCTTGAGGGACACCAGCATTTATGAATTTTGTGTCAGAAAAAGAAGAACCAACAAAAAC